AGTGTAGAGGTGGTAGAGGTGATAGAGATGGTAAGAGAGTGAGTGATAAGATGGGGGTAGGGTAGAGATATGAAGTGGAAGTGATAGAGGGGGCTGTGGGGTGGTAGAGGCAGTGGTGATAAAGGTGGTAGGGGTGGTAGAAGTGGTAGAGGTGATAGAAGTGGTAGGGGTGGTAGGGGTGGTAGGGGTGGTAAGAGTGAGTGGTAAGATGGAGGGAGGGGTATGAAGTGGAAGTAATAGGGGGTGCTACGGGGTGTTAGAGGCGGTGGTGATGATAGGGGGTAGATAGAGTGATGCAATTGGCAGGCGCCACTACGTATCCATGGATTTTTGATGGGGTGCACGTGATGTCACGTGAGGTCATGTTACAGCGTTTTTTGCACGGAAAAGTTGGTTTTTCTTTAGAGATGAGCAGAGAGCTTAATGTCTGACACTGTACTAGATCAATTGAACTTAAGCTTATCTATAAAATGAGAATTCATTGACAGTATCAAGATTCTAATAGAGTTTCTAGAATGTGAGCATGGTCAGGTCTGCAGCTAGATATATAGAACAGAGTTTCAATCTCTCAGAGTCTCACATCTAATCTATGACATCATTGAAGATGCCATTCCGAATAAGAATAGTCTGCAAGTTTCTGCAAGCTTCTGCAATCTTGTGATATCTCATATCTTCTTTCTATCTGAAATAGCTTCCTCCGTGGCGGGGCCTTGCCACCCCCGCCCAGGGCACGTTACAGTTGTGGTTGTGATAATAATGCTGCGATGAGGCGCGCCAACCACGGATGTGGGGAGCGAAGGCACGTGCACCCCTCCAAACCACTCATCAAGGGCCAAAAGAAAGAATGCGTGCCCAGCGTTCCGACGACGTGTTGCGCAGTTGTAATAAGCAGCGGGTCTTGAGCGGGGGCGGAAGCAGGCGGAAGACAAGCCCTAGGTGAAGCCAAGCTGAGCTAAGTTAAGCTCTGGCAGGGCCAGAATAACGGGCGTGGAATGGGAATGGAGCCACGTTCCATGCGAAGTCTGTTTCACTGAAGCCGGGCCTGGCTCTGGGCGAGATCGTTCTTTGGCCTTCCTTTTTTTATGTTTTCACTTTGTTTTTGCTTTGTTTTTGCTGTGGTAACTGTTACTTACAATGTAGATGTGGGATGATGTTTTTGGCAAGAGAAGCAAGCAAAGAAAGCAAGAAGCCGGAAAACCAGAAAAGAAGAAATAAACGCTGAATTCGACACTGTTTCTTTCTTCTTCTTTCCTGCTTCTCTTTGTCTGCATGGAGGCGGTGGGCTTTGACTCCCTCTCAGGTCAGGGGCCTGCTTGTGCTGTAGCACCAGGACTTCTTTTCGTTTTTATTATTATTTATTTTCGGGAACTGCATGTTTTTTCAGATGATGTGTGGTATATATAACTATATATATATATATGGGGTTGATCATTTTCGTCAGGATAGGATACCATACCGGCAGCAAACCGGATATAGCATCAGCATGATTATTAAAGGGTAAGCTAAATAAATAACTAATGAATAATAATAAATAGACATTGGAATAGAGTAGAAATAAGAATAAACACCAGCAAGCCAGCTAAAACCTTCCTGGCGGTCTGTCTGTTTGTGTTTGTCCCTCCCGCCTCCCGCCGAAATAGTATTCCTCCCTCCACTTTAAACCTTCGTCATTCTCCGCCTCTTGGGGCATATTTTCTCTTTTCTTCTTCTCCTCCTCCTCCTCCTCCTCTTCTTGTCTCCCCTCTCCTCTGACTTACTCGTTCCTTAAAAATAAAACAATAATACTCCACTCGCTTTCTTCCGCTCTTACAACACAAATAATCCGCAGCTGGACCGATTCCCTATTGGCGGCAAGCGTACTGGCGTGAGCTCTGTCCTGCGCGGTTGGTTGGGTGCAAGGGCTGAAGAAGTTACTGGGGCTGTTGCATTTTGCATTTTGCATTTTGCGCTGGACGTCTGTAAGTGGCTGCTTTGTTTCTTTTTTCTCTCACTACTTTCCTTTTCTTTTCTTTTTCCATTTTCCCTCCCTGTCAAGTTCCAAGTTTGTTGCCCGATTCCCGCCATGCCTTGCCTGGGCTGCGGTGGACAACTCAGGCGCTTGCCACAGGCACACATACATCGATCTATCTGTACTCCGTACAAACGAGAGAGATACGGTCAGTCACCGTCACACTCTACTTCTCCCCTTGATGCCTCCTCCTCTCCTTATTATTATTATTAGCCTTTCTGTTGTTCGTCTATGACGTCGGTGACATCTGTCCTGGCTATTCATTCCCCTGTGTCTGCTGGTGTGCTGTCCCCACAGAGAGGGGGAGAGAGAGAGAGAGAGAGAGAGAGAGAGAGAGAGAGAGAGCTTCAGCGCTCGCCCTGTCACCCCCGTCACATATTTCTACCCTCACTTTTTCCTCGTCCAGCCGATTGGAAGATCCTCCTCGCTCTCCAGTTCGTGCTTCATGTCAATCAATGCTGCTTGTTCCCGCTGGGCGACTCTGCAGATCCCGTTGACTTTTAAGAAATCGCTGACCTCCTGGATCCATCCAGTCTCTCGCTCTCCCACTTCTTCTCGCTCGTCTTTAAATACAACCACCCCAATCTCTGCCGCTGTCATCGTCTCCATCTCCGTCAAGCTAGTATTTCTGAGATTTAGGCCCTGACACTTCTACATCAATGAGTGTTGCCTCCCCTTTTCATATTCCTTGAGCAAGCCGTCGAATCCAATCCTGCTGCCAAAAGCCTACGTTAGCGCACGAAAACCACCATCCATCCATCTTAGTGTAACGGAGACTACAACAAGCAACATCCACCGCTCTGGTTCTTTGTCAGTCAGGGTTATAAGAAACATCCCACCGTGAAAACAGGAACCCCACGCTCTGTTTTTCTGTTTTTGTTATTAGTCTTGCTCGCAACTGGCAGCAACACACACACACAAAAAAAAAAAAAAAAACACATTGACCAACTCCTCACATTACCCGTTGGGCTCCCATCCACCCACCGCCACGTATTTTATCGCGTGTCCGGCTTATCGCCCGCGCACTTTCGTTCTCTCCTGCTACGAAGTAACAACGAATCGCACTCACTCAACTTCGTACACACAAGACGTTTACATCATGCTATAAAGCCTTTATTTAAAAAGAGGAGAAATACTACTTCAAGACTATGGTTCTTCTATCGCAGCTTTTTGAAACAGACAGACGCGAATGCTCGGAACGAAGCATGGAATCAAGCCAACCCCCTCCCTACGCTAGCCCCTCACCTCAGTCTCCCCAGTCTGTCGCGTCATCCAACCCGGGTTCGCCCGCTGTATCTCTCTTCTCCGCAAGAGCCCATAACAGATTCCCCAGCTCCGCGTCTTCGTTAGCCTCTTCTCCTGGCTTGGGGAGCCTTACAGAAGGATATAGCACTATGAAGACCCCGCTGACCGACGTCAAAGAGGACCCACTTGAGCTCGATACGAGTCTGGTTGACGGAAGCCCTTATTTTGGTGAGCCCTACTGTCGTTCGCAAACTGGGGACAACAAGCATTGTTTTCCGTCTTCTAACATCTCTGGTGAAATTGTAGCGCACTTCAACCAGGTTCACGCGGACGATGGCTATTCCGCAGTGCTGGAATACGATCTTTCAGACGACGTGGTGGAAAAGCCGAGCTCGCCCAAGAAGCGAAAGTCGGATGGCAGCACAGCTACATCCTTTCGCGGCATCTCTCGCTTAAGCAACCGATTTACTTCCATGTCGTCGAAATGGAAACACAAGCAAGGAATAGATACGGCAGTCTTGGAAAAATATGATGAATCGCTGAGATCGCGTGCAAATTCTGCAACGTCGACGTTGGTGAGCCCGACAGTTAGCTCACTCTCCATCCGACAAGGCCACACATCCCCCTCTCCAGCAAGAACAGCTTTTGAAGATCGGTTACATGAGAGTGGTATTCATCCCATAGACATCGACATGGCCAATCGACAGGGTATAATAGACACAGAGCCAAAGGCAACCACACCTTTACTGCCACCTTTGATGGTGAACCTTCCGAATCGGGATAACATATCGCCCACACAGTCACCACTACAGTCCCCCTCCGTAGCTGATGTGACTGACAGCAACTCGCACCCAAATACAACCCACAACTCCCTCGACGCTTCCAGAGCGACATGCCTACCTTCACCACCGCTATCCAAACAGGCCTCTGTATCATCCATCAGTCGACAATTGGCAGGAGCCAGAACTCAGGTTCAAGATCTCTCCCCAGTCGCAATGCCAGAGACGGATGACGAGTGGTCCGACAAGCTAGGCCATGCGAATTTCACCATCCGACCTGAACCCTATCTCCCCACCTCCCGAACGCTCGAAGCCTTCGAGGAGCACAGGAACAATTGGGAGCTTGCCCGCTGCAATTACGCGAAACATCTCACTCGCATTGCAGAGCACTACGGCGCAACATCCAACATCTACCGGCTCACGGAGGAGAAATGGGATTCGGTGGAGGCTGGATGGAGAGGGAACCACAACGAACTCGTCGCAGGTTTGGAAGACGGCAGAGGTAATCCTGTCAGCTTGCTACACAAACCGGACATCTCCAGCGTCGAAGCCATCAAAATCCCACAGCTGGACGATAAAAGCAAGTTTCCTGACCGTGGTGATGAGGATATTGTTGGACCAATGTCTGTGGCGCCTGTTCTTCAACGATCTTCGTATCCGTCGGGCAAATCGTTACGGAAGAGAACGTTCTTTAAGTTCTTGCAAGATCTGTTCACCCCTGGGATAAAAGCCTGACAGACGTCGATAAAGCTGCGCTGGCCATCATCCCATCCTGTGACCTTGTATCATAATTGGTTGCCATTTCCCCGTCGCCTTTTTGTTCGGATTTCAATTTTCATTTATTACTTTCTTCTGTTTCTCACATACATACAAGTCCCGCTCTCGCTTCTCGTTGATTCAAATGTCCCCTTCTCTTCCTTGTACAAACTAATCTATCCACATGCCTTCTTTTATTTCGTTGGCTTTATCCCTCAATTGTCAAGTGAAGTGTTTTCACAACACGACATCGTCGACTTTTGGGGAATAGCCGTGATTTCGTCCCTTCGTCCTTTCCATTCCTTACAGCTTATTACCATGCGACGACCGATCATGTTGGACGATGAATGATGACGCTCCTTTATAATGCTGCTTTTGCTAGAGATACCCACCTTTTACGCTCCTTTTATTATTAGACACACATACACAGTGAGAGGGAGACGTTCCCCTATTGATTCACCCTAGACCATATTTTATGCCCTATAATTATAATTCATTTATTACACCGCTTATATCTAGACCTCTTCTTTACATTTATATATCCGTCCTGCTTTTCTGCACAATTTACTATACGAGCTATTTTTCAGAACTTTTTATTTTTATTTTTTATCGATAGATAGTTGTTTTTGCACCCCACCCCATACCATTGTGAGAGACGCCTTGCGCTCACGCTAAAAAGGGCCTACCTGCCTTCTTATTTTTTAAAAATGTTAATTTTCTATATAATGAGGTGACTGCGAAGCGATGAATTTCGGATTCGGCTGCTGAAGAGAATGATGAGAGGGACCAGAGGGTAAGGAAATACCCGAAGAGCTCGAGCTGCAGCTTGTTCCAAGGAATCATATCATCCCTCTTTCCCCTTCCTTTTCCCTCATTGAACCCAATCACGCCAAATGGGCATGGGCGGGGTTGGTTTGCACTCCATTCCCATACTGATATCTCGCGGGTGCCTCGGACAGTTGGGTTTATTACACCAGACGGATGGGATGAATGGTATACATATATTGGTTAGAATTTCCTATAGACCCGGTTTCAGTCTACCTATCTCATCTCCCAATGTTCTATATATCATCGCGCGCGGTGTGTGCACTTTCGTCTTCCCTTATTTTTTTATTTTTTTTTCTGCATCATTTCTTTTTCATGCCGAATACCACCAACCATCAACCAACCAACCATCCCGCCCAACACATACATGTACATATCTTCAAAAGTGTTTCCCCCCCACTACTCCCACCCCAAGATGCCTGCATCTAATCCATAATAACTCTATTCTGGCCGCTCGATATTATCTATTAACCCATCCGCTCTGCCTTACTTTGCCACTCAGCCACTGACGCTCAACCCAACCCTCAACTTTGTCCTCCCAACATGTTTCATCATAGACATAGACCATACAGGGCTCTTTATTTTATTTTGCTGATTCATTCATTCATTCGCTAATTTGGAAAAAGAGGGCTCTTGGAAACGGTGAGAAAAGGGGTAAGTGAGGAGGAAGCTGTTGGGAGGGGTGAGTGTTTTTATTGTGGGAGTCTGGTGTGGGGCGTGTTGGGTGGAGGTTGCTTGTTGGTTAGAGGTATTGAGGCTTTGAAAATGATGATGAGATGATTAGATAGTACATCTGAATCATGATGAGTGAATGGATGAATATATGTCATGATTTGTGAGTTACTATTTATAGAGTTATCACATACGAACAATATTGTGGCGGATGTACGGAGTATTGCTTCCGAAAACAGAATTTTCTCAGCCCCTCTCTGAAAATTAGTAGCAAGAAAAATCAAAATATCCATGTTTCTCTAGAATCATTCAATTATCATTCAATACATATCTTGCTTACTTTTACCATCAATATGCTATTTTAACTCAGTGATTTCATTGTTAATAAAATTATACATCTTTTTTAATGAAGGTATTTTCAGAGTAGTTTGATTGCTGCTACATGACTCTTTATAAAGAGCTTGCAATCACCGACTATGTGAATCAGCAACTGTAAGCAAGTATGAGCAGAAGCAGTTGACTTACAGAGAGACAATTATACACCTCTTTTAATTACTGCTTCACTCAAGTAAATGTTTGTGATCTGATAGAGTAGCTGTGTAACTAGAAAATAAGATCTACATACAAGATTAAAAGTGTTTTCTGCTGAAGATTTCACAGAAAACTGATAATAATTGAAAGATAAAATAAAAATAAAAGAAACAGTAAAATGTGAAAAGTATAAAGCTTGCTTAATTGAAAAGATTACTAGCTTATGAAAAGTTATATAGTGAAAGAATTAATAAGTCAGAATATATAACTTAACACTCTCACTTATCAGAGTAATTATATATAATTGTGGCGGGCTGCGCCCGATCAATCATATAGACTCTTCCGTTACACTCCATAGATTCTTCCGCTTCATTCTCGAACGCGTACACTCTGATTCTCGGCCATTCTCAATCACCGATCCTCGGCCGCCATGAACGCGCCATCACATACATGTATAAATATTCACCTCAATCACTGATTCTCACACTTTCTCTTTCTTTCCTTCTCTAACATTTTTCTCTTTGTTATATAAGACCTATAATATTATACTGATCTATTCAGTGTAGGCCTCTTACACTAGAAAAATGTTCATTGTCTTCTTATTAGAAATGATTACTCACTGAGATATCTGAATATGTAACAATGTATAAGAAATAGAGAAATAGTTAAACAGTTAAGTGAACACTGAGTTCTCAGATAGAAGCTTACTTATCAGTCACTCTAGCTCTATAATAAGATCTTATAAAGAGAATATCAGTGAAAGATCTGAGAGTTCTGACATCTCAGATGTATAAGATATTTATATAATTATACATTCAATAATTGATATAATCATGTCTAATAATAATATAAAACTCTTAAACATGAGTATAGATATAATGTCACAGTGACTCTGAGTAATGTTGAAATTATAACAGCAATAGATAGCAGATATATATGCAACTTAACAACTTCAATATGAAGAGATTTAATAATTAACTCATGTAATTTCAACATCTATAGAATTGAATACAAAAGCACTGAAAGAATGCTTAGATACTTCTATATATTTCAATACTTTCAATCTCACTCTCTACTCATCATGAAGAATGGAAATGCTTACAAAACTGAGTATAGATGAAGATGTTATTAATTTATTAAATAATCAAGATTAATATACTAATAGATAATTAAAGAATTATATGAAACAGAAGTTTCATTTATAAATGAAAGTATATGAATCAGTATTACAAATGTCTGATAATATTATGAAATATCTTGATATTCTGTTCTGAGACACTGTTATATAATAGAAGATATTAGATTGATTACAGAGTATTTAACAGAGAAATACTTCTCTTATAATATTTATCTCTAACTTCAATATCAAGATCTTAAAAGCAGGTGATTAATCTTGAGAGAATTGAATGAAGATTAGCATGCTTAAGAAGACATTAACTTTCAAACTCTTACAGACTCTTATAAGTGTAAATAAAGACTCAACTTATAAAGACTTCTACACACAGCTCTGAATATTGAATGACTGTTTTATTAAGCTCAAGAGTATACAGAACAGTGATAGAAGATATTACATCTCAGTAACTCATACACTCACACTGAATAACAGCAATGATACAGATGTTATAAACTAAATAGATTTAAATTTCTATACATAAGCAAGGATTTTCACTGTTTAAATAGACTTTTAAGTCTCTAAGATTACTTCTGAAGAAGTCACTGATCAATATTAACATGAAGTGTGTATTAACTGTAACTCATCAGAATATATTACTTTCAACTGTTAATTAGTCTACATATCTTCTTGCTTAAAGAATGAATCAATGTCTGTTCACATCAATCATGTTATATTAGAGAAAGATTTGAAAGATAACTATGAGAATACTCTAATAAAACAGGAAAAAGATTAGCTTCTGTTCAAATTTATAAACAGAAGCTTGAAGAGATCAGATAATAATAATTTAAAGAGAAAATAGCAATGAATGCAATTCTTGTATCTACTGTGATTGATAATATATATAATATGAAAGTCATGATAGATAGCAGTCTATATTACTATACAATGATAAAATCTTTAGTTATAAGATATTATAATCTTTAGTGTATTCTCTTATTAAAATTCTGACTTCTCACATAATTTAATGATTCAAAAGATGTTTACATCTGTTACATAATAAAACTAAATATAGATGTCAGAGAATATCAGTGTGAAGATGTCTATGTATATAAAGTTGATAATCTTGATTATAATCTGATGTTAGAACTTCTCTGACTATCTCAATAAGACATCTTATTAAACACTTGAAACAGAAGTTTAATATTTCCTAATAATAATAGAATTCATGAAGATGATATTCACAAGACTATGAACCTGACACAGATCTCTATCAATACTTATAAAATACTCTGAAAAAGATGTGATTAAAACTGCTGATAGAGTTGCTGATAAAGTTATTAATAACAGAATCATGTATCAATCTATTTCATCAGTCTGACTGATATTAAGAAAGCTCTAGAAAAGTTATCTCATACTATAATAATAAATTCTCACATAAAACTCTCTTAATAATATCATGAATATCTACATATCTTCTGACAAGATAATATTATGAATATATCTTCTTTACAAGACTCAGAGGTGAATCACAGTATCAAGTTAGAAAAGAAGAATGATAAGAATCTCAAGTCACTATAAGACTCTCTTTATAATATGTATCAAGATGAACTTCTTCTTCTTCAGAAGACACTTAATAATCTGTTAAATAAGAGATTTATATGTATTAGTAACTCTTTCACTGCAGCTTCTATTCTCTTTATAAAGAAGTCAGATAAAGAACTTCAATTCTGTATAAACTACTGAGATCTGAACAGATTGATAAAGAAAGATTAATATCTCTTATCTCTTATCAATGAAACTCTAGCACAGATCAGATGAGCTCAATGATTTATAAAGCTAGATGTTATTACTGTATTTCATAAGATTTATATTACTGAAGAAGATAAATAGCTTATAGCATTCTGAATATGTTATAACCTCTTTAAATGAATAGTCACATTCTTTGAACTGACTAATGTTCTCAGTATATTTCAGAAGTATATCAACTGAGTACTTTGAAATTTTCTTAATAAGTTTGTATCTGATTATCTAGATAACATTCTCATCTTCACTGATGAATTCAGAAAAGAGTATTAAGAGTATGTATGAAGAGTATTACAATGATTATGAGAAGCAGAACTATCAATTGATATTGATAAGTATGATTTTAAAGTTAAGAGTACTAAATACTTAGATTTCATCATAGAAACTGATAAGAGAATTTGAATAAATTCTGAGAAGATCTCTGTCATTCAGTTAGACTGGCCGCCGGGACCATGAATTTCACGTTTGATTTCATTTGGTCTGATCCCATACATTTCTTGGCGTGAATCCCGCTGGGACTGGCTATCAAAAAAACATGTAAAGTGACTATATATCAGATCTTAAAATGAAATCATGACTTGAAAAAAATGAGAAAGTGATCTCATTTGATTCCATTTAGTTCTATTCTTGACATAAAGTTACTATTTTTAGACATTTTAAGGTTTTTTTTAGACTATTTTTAATTTTTTGAAAAGTAACACTTTTTGATAACACTCAAATGAGATTTAAAGTCATTTAAAGCAATAAAAATAATTTAAATTGAGAAGTGGAAATCATGGTTCTATTTAGAAAATGTGACAAGAGTACATAGTAAGACTCACTGAGACAGTATGAGACTACTATCTAATGTTAAAACTGTGTAATGGGATCAGTCGAATTGGTAATGAAACTATCAAAAAATCTGGTCCTGGTCCCAGACACGGTCACACGGTCAGTCTAGAACTCATTCTTGAATGCAAAGCTTTATATACTGTGAAAGATGTATAAAGCTTTATTGAATTCACTAACTTCTATCAGTGATTTATATGAAACTTCTCAGATATTATCAGATCACTTACAGATCTCACTAAGAAAGACTCAGTATTTCAATGATCAGCAGACACTGAAGCTGCATTTATACAGATAAAGAAGATATTTATTAATATCTCTCTGCTGATAACATTTGATTCTGATTATGAGATAGTTATTAAGACTGATTTCTCTGACTATATGATAGAAGAAGCAATATTGTAATATCATGATAAAAGTGTTCTATAATTATATATCTTCATATTTAAGAAAATGAGTCCTGCTGAATACAATTATGAGATCTATAATAAGAAACTTCTCATGATTATACACTGTTTAGAAGAATAAAACTCTGAACTTCAAAGTATCTCTGAATTTAAGATAATCACAGATTATAAGAATCTCAAATACTTTATAACTATCTGTAAACTCACTGAATAATAGATACAGTGATCTGAGTTCTTAAGCTGCTTTTATTTTACAATACACTACTATCTCAGCAGCTAGAACTCAATGATAGATACTCTCTTATAATAAGAGTAAGAAATGCCTTCTGATTAGACTGGCCGCTGGGATCATGAATTTCACATTTGATCTTATTTGATCTGATCCCATACATTTCTTGGTGTGAGTCTCACCAGAATCAAGCCTCAAAAAAATCTGAAAATGAACTATTTCTGAGAGAAATGATGTGAAAAATGACCAGATTTAATTCAAGAACAGTGAAATGAGAGTAATTTCTCAGAATAAACTGTGAAAGATGATTATTCTTTCAAAATCAGAATGAGACTGAGACTGAAGATCAAATTCAGTCTCATTCAGTTCATTCAGTAATTACTTATATAATCAGAATTTGATAACAATTATTGATAACACTCATGAAACA